GTCCAAGCAGTCACTGCAGGGTCAGTAATGACTGAGCGCAGACCAAAAAAAAAAAAATCAGGTGCCCTACTGGAATGAACCTAACCTGAATTTGAGTGTTTGTATATAAAGCCGTGCTCAAAGTTAATAACCTTCTATCCAAATTCAGCTGATCTAGCTTAATCCATAGTTTGTTTCTGTCAATAGAGTCAGATACTGCACTGTTTTAGGCAAGGAAGAATCATATTTGCCTTTCCATACCACAACATCCCCAGATGCTCCTGAGGATACCTGCAGAGATTTCAGATAACATTTTTCAGGATAATTCTTCCTCTCCTGTCACTTGCATTCTCAGTTTGCCCCAAAGTCTGCTTTTAAAATCAAATGTTAAGTGTAGCAGGCATAAAATATAAAAATATAAATGGCTTGAGAGACATAAACTAGTAAAGCAAAATGGAAAATCTCCATTCCATCAGGAAAGGATGTGTGAGCAAAAGGAAAGTGCATTAGATGGAAGTGTTATTAGCTTATTCATGACTCGATAGGTTTAACCTTTAGAAATTAGAGAATGAAGTTCATGATGCAATGAATCACAAGCAATATCCATCTGTTTTCTAACATTAATGGGTCAGACTAACTAGGCTTTAACTGATAGAATATTTGCACTCAATCTTTACAAGTCAGTTTCTTGTTATTGATCTGAGCACATAGAGTTATTATGAGTACTATCAATTATATAGCACTCTCATATCACTACCTCAGTTGTTTGACAGCTTCAGGACTAATAGGTGTCCAGATAATAATCACTTTCCACTAGCTTTAAAATCTTTTTCAGTTACCTGGGGCGATTTTGTTTCAGCCAAGTTAAATGTAGACGTTAGACTGTCTTATATAAGCAGGTTGAGAAAAATCAGTTCTTTTCTTACAAATATTCTGAACTCCACCCCACTTTTCAGATCAGAGCATTCACTACTGCAAACCAACCAGGTTAGCATAGATTGATTACAAGGAACACCTACAGATTCATCAACCATCTTCAAATAACCTTAACATTAGTAGGTTACCCCCCACACACATTTCCCTAATTTAAAACCCTGGTTTGGTAGAAAGTATGTTAAAGCAAAGAAAAATCTGATTGCTGCCTTTTATTCCTATTTGTTGAATTTAGTTCATACATCTTATCAGAGGATCATACAAAATCAAAGCCAATATGGGTGACTGATAGCAACAAAAAAGAAGAGCCCCTAGCTCTAGTGTTACACGGTAAAGAATTTGGGCCAGGTCTCATGATAACTGCCACTGAGACTATTTTTTTTTTTAAATTCTACTGTAAATTATAGGTGTCATTTATTCAATTTATTAGCCCCTTCATTTGCCAAAACATTTCTTTGAGTTGTTCCATTGTATTTTGGTCTGTAGCCTAATAAAGATTTTCTTTGTTTTCAGTTTTCTGCTTTAGCATTATTTTGAAACAGCTGTGGGGGGGGGGGTTGCCCATTTTCCTGTACTTGTCCATTTCACTCCCCCTTCCTCACCCTGCTATCTTCATGTTCTAAGTAACAGGTCTAATTCTCAAGCAGCAAATTAGCTTCAGTGCTTAATTCTGCATGACCAGCTACTTGCACCATTGTGGCAGAATCTGCCTCCCTCATCTCTGAGGCTATTTCTGCCCTTATGTCTTCCGTTATATTTCTATTTCAAATTACATGTTGTGCAAATGAGATATAAGAGGAAGGGAAGACCCACTAGCATAGAGATTCCCCCTGCAGAATTACAAGATCAGAACCTGTCCTCCCCCCCACCCCCCATGATTCCTGTTGCACTGCTCTGATTAATGGATATTTTGCCTATTGGCTAGTGATGGCAGCAAAACTAGAGGGGGAAAAAACCATTATGAGTGGATACACTCACAAATCAGGACAATGCCACTTGGCAGTAACTGGAAACAGTCATAATAGATAGAGATAACAGATACAGCAAATTAGTATTTGCTGGTGTTTCAGAGGCAGGAGTCCTACATTATGAGTAAGATGACTAGCGCAGAATAAGTAGGATTGCCTTTTTAGGTGTTTTGTTAGTGTCACAAACAGGAAATGAAAGTATACTTGGAATAAAAAATTGTGCTGATCTTTAACAATAGTAATTTAAGGATTTTAGGTGGATTCATGATTCCTGTTGGATGCTGTACTGTTGTATGAAATAAATGAATGTCATTAAAATGTGTTGTTTCTTGAGCAGATGTGTTAGTTGTTTTTCTAAGGCAGATTATGCACTTTGGTAATAGTATTCTTGAACCTATTTTGCATTGTTTGTTGGTATTTAATGTTATTTAACAGTTTTGTATTTCATAAGTTCATTGATAATAGTGAATGGATGACAATTGTATATCCAAAATTATCCCTGTTCCTCTTCAAATTGCACATCTTTTTAATGATCTCTATCCATAGTCTACTCTAGAAAGAATCTTAATCTTTTTTAACTGCTGCAATAATCATATTATCTGATACAGAGAATATGTGTCTACTCAATGCATTCATTTTTCCTTTGGGAGAGCTCACTGGTAAATCTGCTATGAAAGGAGAGTCTACTGAAGACTATACTTTAGATAAATTAATGCACAGAATTATAAAGAATTTTTCAGTTTCATGTGCCAGTTACTATTTGCCATCTAAGGTACAGCTGGTTTTTTGGCACTTGTTTAGTGGTGGGAGTGCTGAATTGCTACATCTAATGATCTCCCAAACAAAAGCAAGGAAAAGTCTCGGTTTATCTTCCTTGATTTCCAAGCTAAGATTAAGCAACGTGTTAATATAAAAAACCATGTTGAATTAGAGTAAATATTCAATCTATTCAATGTTTTGTACTATAGCCAGTCTTACAGGATGCTCTGTTAATATTTATTTATGAATAGGTAAAGAAGGTGGCATAATACTTTAGCCAATCCTACATGAAGTTGTGTTAGTACTTTCAGATGAATCTGGTTTAATGTTAGGAAAGATTTCCTAACAAACTAAGGGTAGTTTCACGGTAAGCCAATCATTCAGAGATGGTGCCCTCCCCTTCACTGGATGAGTTCAAATAAAAAGTGGACAAATTGGATTCCTGTAATTTGGATTCTTGGATTGAGCAAGGCAAATATTTCTAAGTAAGGTTAATGGCCACTGTTCATGTAAAGGCTTTAAAGTCTCTCTGCTTTATCAGTAATTTAGGGAAATATTAAACTGGAATTTTCAAGGAAACTCTGCTTCTAACATTGGATTTGGGATGGGAAATGCCTTTGAGTTAATTTTGACTCCTTTGTTGGCAACATTTTTGAAAGTGGTGTGCTGTTGCCTTCTTCATTAAGGCTGAGAGGGAATGAGTGGCCTGAAGTCACCTAGCTGGCTTCTATGCTTAGAGCAGGACTAGAATTTGGGTTTCCCTACTCATAGTCCAGTGTCTTAGCCTCTAGACCAGTGATGGCAAACCTATGACACATGTGTCAAAGGTGACTTGCCAGCGTTTACCAACACCCAACAACTATTCTCCCTGTTTGGGTTACCAAAGAAACTGAGTTTGTTTTACTCATATTTTATTTTTGTAATTATTTGAAGTTTCTTTAAATAATACATAGCACCACACATGATTGGACTGTATTTTTTTAAATAAATGAATATGTTCATTTTTATTCGGGGGCGGGGGTGACATACCAGCAAAGTCAAGATAGGCATTTTCCAAATTTTTGACATGCTGAGCCCAAAAGGTTTGCCATCACTGCTCTAGACCAGTTTGGCTCTCAACTTGCTGATATACCTAGCATAGTCTTGTTCCTAAGCAAAACCTTGTAGGAATGCAAAACTCACTCATTTAGTGTTTGCTGAGGTAGTCCTGTAAACTCCTCTTCTCTCATCAAAATTTCACTGGCAAAATTAAGAACTTTTAAAAATATAGGTATTGTATAGGTTTAGTTTTTTTAATGCTTTAGAGTTTCTGCAAATATTTATTTGCTTGATATTCTGCTTGTTATTTTTTCAGTGAAGTAGAATATAAACAATTCTTCAGGCTGAGAATGCTAAATAAATATGAACATTCTGCTCCTATCTTCGTTGGCTCTTGTTAAATATAGTTCTGCTGGTGACTTAAATTGTCTTGATAAATCTTGCAGACTTTCAGCTTTACTTACTGTTGACTCACTGAGAAAATAAGCCTACCTTTAGCATAGTCTGAGCTTATTTGTTTAAGTACTGAGACAACAAACATATTCATGTAACTTACATTCCAGGAAATAACAGCAGCTGCTATTCTAGCTATAACATAGACTGGAAGGTGACTACATTTAGAGCCACTTTAGTGTGGTAGTTAAGATGCTGGGCAAGTCCAACTTTAGCCTTAAGTACTCACTAGGCAACTTTGCTCAGTCACTATCTCTCAGCCAACCCTACTTCATAAGTTTGTTATTGTGGAAAACTGGGGGAGGGAGTGCTGTACATGCCACCTTTGCTCCTGGTGAAAAGGTATGATACAGATGTAGCAAATATAAATAAAATTTATGATGATCTCTCCAAAGAAAGTTAGTGTCATTTAAATAGGATTTGCATAGTACAGTATGGTGAGTAGGCTTCTTTGTTTGATGGTTCATCACTTGGAAGAACATGCTGTGATTTTTATATTCATCTGTTTTATCATGTGTTTCTTTTACTCCTAGACTACTTGCTTATTTGGAAGTTTGGTTTTCCCTGCCTATATCATGAGCCCAGCTGATACCAAGCGTTGTGGGACCAAGCGTCGGAAAAATAAAAAAGGTAGTGGCCTTGGTCCATCAAATCTAGCTGGAGTCTTCGAGGTCAAATCTGTAGGACCATCTTCCATTATTGTCCCCTCCTGCTCCTCTTTCTCCTCCTCAACCCCATCTACTTCTACTATAGCCTTCTTGCAGCCTCCCACCACCAACACAGCTTCTTCCAGTACTGAAAATGGTCTTCTGGCAGCAGCTGCCACAGCTACCCCGTTGATTCCTAGTGAAGCAGTGAAGAAGGCCGAGTTTCAGAAAAAGCGCTGCGGAGGAACAATTAATTCTAGACAAACTCGCAAAAGAAATAGAATTAGTAACTCAGGTCCTGAAACAGCTTCACAAGAACCAATTGATCTTGAAGTTAATACTTGTGAAGAAGTAGTAGACCTTACTTCTGAGACTTCAGAACCAATTGTAGTTGATCTGACGCACAATGATTCTGTTGTGATTGTTGAAGAAAATGTTTGTCAACAACAAAATCAAGAATTAAGAAGTCAGCAACTCCCTGACAGTTGTATATTAAGTAGCGATGATGATGAACCAAGAGATGAAGTGATTCTAACTAGCACATTGCCTAAAGAATTGGAATTATTGGAAGAGGGTATTTCAAGTTCACACCGTTCAGGTACTGTGAGCTGCCCAATTTGCATGGATGGCTATTCAGAGATTATTCAGAATGGACGGCTCATCGTATCAACGAAGTGTGGTCATGTCTTCTGTAGCCAGTGCCTCCGTGATTCCCTAAGAAATGCTAATTCTTGCCCAACTTGTAGGAAGAAACTTGGCTACAAACAGTATCATCCAATTTATATATGAAGCTTAGATCCTTCTCCAAAGAATCTAAATTGAACTCTTCTGAATGCTTCATAAACATATATTTTCAGCAAACAATAGAGTATTATCGTTGCTCAGATGTGACAGTTAATGTGCAGACCATTATGGAGTTTTATCGGTACATGAGCTTGTATTTTGTTCAGTTAATCATATGAAGTTGACTTTACAGTCCATCAAAGTATGTAGATGTTTGAAGGACAGTTAGTTACAATGAAAGCAAATTGGTATTGCCATGCTGTTTTTGAAGAATTTGAATTACACCTCTACAAGATACGTTTTTGACTTCAGATGACAGGATGAAAATCTGTTTTAATTTGTCCAAGGTACAAGGCATGCTTATGATAATGTGAGTAACAGCAGCCAGTTAGTAACCCTGCATTTTTCTTTTTGCATTTCATTCTCAAAAAATTGAACCCACGTTTGTCTCCTGATGATATTCTACCTTTTGTGTGAACTTCTGCATTTCCAAGGAATACTATATTTTGTAGCCAGGGTACACCGCATTTCTAACATCAAAATGTTTAAATGTTTTATTTGAAAGCATTTTTGGAAGACAGATTAGTAGGACCATAACTGTAGAAAATTTTTGACTATAATCAGAAAGAAATATTTTCTGTATGCACCTAACTTACAAAAGAATAAGTTGAAACCTCCTATTTATCACTATCTCAGAACAAGATAAAGAGAAACCTGAGTTCTGGCATAAGAAGTTTACAGTACAAACATTTGATAGGGTGAAGATAATGAAAGCTATCTTTAAGTAAATACATTTTCATAATGGTGTACTGATTACCTGATAATTTTAATAATTATACATTGCTAAAACTTAACTAATAGGTTTGAGTTGCCCAGTTATTTTTAATAATTTGGGAGGTTGATTTCTGAAGTCCTAATGGTTAATTCATTTCTCTTTATATAGTCATGCAGTGCAGATTGAACATTTTTAATGCCCATATTGTCATTTCTTTTTTCCAAATAGGTGCATTTTGAAAAAATTAAGAAAATCCTTATTAGCCTGGTTGCCATTGACAAATGATGAGAATGGTATAGCATGAAATATGCAACAATAAGTTTACTATTAAGAATTTTTGTAAGTGCTTCTTTTTTATATATTTTTGCTGTATGCTGATGAAAATAGTAGAACTTGTATCTGCATAAGCAGAAGGAAATTAGGTGTGCAGTCTGGATAAGCAATTTAAGTTCGATTATCTATGTTACTGATGCTTATTGTATAACCATGAAGGTTTTTCTTAGCAGCTATCTTTTAAATATAATTTATAATTACAAAGCATCACAAATATGTAACATAGAAACAATCTCTCTGCAGTATTAGGAATTTCAATAGAATATTGAATATTTTTTCCATTTTTAGAATGTTGAAAATATTATGGATTCTCCTATCCATTTATATTAGGACACTGAAAATTAGAAGTGTGTATAAATCAGGAAGAACGTTTTGTTTCAAACACAGAACAAAACCATTCCATTCTAGAGGTTCTGCCAAACCTCATTGAGCCCTTCACAGTTCAGCTTTAGCTTTAGCTGTTCTAGGTTTTGGATGAAATCGGAATAGGGTGAGACTGGTACATCTCTCTCCCATCTCTCTCCCCTGCAGCTCAGTAAAGGACAAATAAAAGTCTGTATTTTTTTCCTGTCAAGTAGCCTTGCTGATATTCCAGGATGGCATGTCCTGATGCCCTGTTTGCCCCCTGATCTTTCCAGGATCTTCCCTCCCTCCTCTCAGCCACCACTGCTAATGTTCCAGCAAGGCACAGGCCCACCTGCCTCCTGGATTTCCCAGCACCTTCTCTCCGTATCTCCTCTCAGCTGCTAATCTCCTTGGCTTTTTCCCCACTTGAAACCACTTCTGCTCAGAACAGAGCAGCCCCATTTCTTTTTGTCTACATGACAAAACATCAAAAACAAGCATGTCTCAGTTCAGACCTGGACTCCCCAAAACCAGCAGTTTCAGGCATGGAATGATTTGCACATCCCTAGTAAAAATGTAAAACCCTATTTGGAATTTCTTCTGGGTGTTAAGAGGCCTGCTTATCCATGAGCAATTCCCACATGCTTAGAGGTTGCTATATAATCAACTGTATCCATGTAATTGGTTCATTTAGATGCAATAAGAGCTATTTACTGAAATCATTTTCTAATACAATTTTCAGCATGGTTTTTACATTATTCCAATCCAGTTATACGTGTTATAATTTTCACTATCCTGGGAACACTTTTTGTTTCCTGTATTGGGGTTCTTGTAAATATAAAATTTAGCTCACATGAGTATTTGTGAATCATCTCTAGGCAACTGGAATAACCCATGCCAGTTAAAAATCTAGAACCACTTTAAAAAAGTAAGGTTGGAATCTGTCTATTGCTTTTGAATGGAATAGAGATTGCTTTTGATTATATATGATAGGATCAGAATTCAAATAAATTTAATTGCTTAACTGCACAATTTGTTCATATTATTCTATTATAATTTGTCATTAATTCAAGTCTGCTTTGATCTGGAGTATTTACCCCCTTTTCTTGCTAGCTTTTGAGAGTTCTGCTAGTTAGCAAGTACATCAACTGTAGCATTAGATATTAAATAAGTTTTGGCTGTATTTTAATGTACTGTTAGACCATTATAGTTGAAGGCTTTTGCTTCTGTTTTTTTCCAAAATCACAGTCTTTTTGCTAGGGAAGGGAAAGTGCACAAATTTTGATTAAACATGATTAACGTTACATCCTAACCATTTTTAGCATTTACAAAATAAAATCTAAACACCATTCTGAATTTGTTTTCAAGGCAAGTGATATTGGTTTATACAAATATACATAATTTTAAGAACCAATGGACAAATATCTGTATTCTCTTCCATCTATAAATGTGTAGAATCCATGCTTTTTACTTATTTATATGTATCTATATCTCTGTATCATGTTTGTGTTAGCACATTAGACCAATTTTATTGCAGTTAAAAGTAAAGCTTTTTATGTACTTTTCACACATGTATTATGCAAGAATATATATAGGGAGAATTGGGATATTTAATGGTACAGGTCTATATATAAAGAACATGGTAAGATTGCTTACTGATGACCAATTATTGTACTGAACATCAGAATTTGAATAAATGCACACCACAAAAAGAATCTTGGCTAATTGAGGAAATAAGTTTTTATAAGAACTCGGCCAGTTTCTGAGATAGGCCTTTGATGGGGTTTAATTCGCATAGATACAACTCAGGATCTAAAGGCTTCTTTGTACATGATGGGTTTAAGGTCAAGTTACCAGCTCAAGCAGACAAGGCTCAAAATCTCAGAAGTAGGAAAAGAAGGTAAGCTGGTACATCAAACTACTTCAGTAGTGTAGGTTGTAAAGTACTTGATGTATGAATATATTAACATCTGAGAAGGTTGCAGTAGACTTAAAAATCACTGTAATAAGTGTTTGGTCACCAAGTTTCAAAATTCCAAGAAGTTGTTAAACTTGGATATAATACATAGAATAGTGGATCAGCATTTGGTTTTTAATAACTTTATACCTTTGAAATGACCATCGACTCTGAGTTTGTGAATTATTGTTTAGTAATCATCTTTAATTGCAGTATTCATTACTCTCAGCTGTGTTCACTGGAAAGGTTCCTTGGTATAGAGCAATTCTGTATGAATCTACTCAGCACTCAGCCCCACTAAACTCAGTTGAGCTTTCTCCCATCTAAATATTAGCTAGGTAACCAAAAACAGCCTGCCTTATGCTAGTGCCACCTAACTGTCTTTCATTACCCCATTGTCTCCTACCTGTGTTGTCCCCTTGGTACATGCTGGAGATTACAACTGCATGTCTATTAAAAGACATGCATTAAACAAATACTGTCTTTTTGAAAGTGCCAGTTCATTCAATTTCTACTCCTTCGGTTTATCATAACTTTTAAATCAAGATCATGGAAAATTGTCATCTGAAATATAACTCTCTCTTATTTAAGTGGTCTCCGTCCTTTCTTTACTTAGGTCAGTTTTCTCCAATCTGGTATCCTCCAGATACATTACAAATACAATTGTCAGAATTCCAAGCCAGCATGAACCACAGCAGGTTACAGATTTGGAGGGACTGTAGTTTCAGTACACATGACACTACTTAAACATCCACAGATTGTAGGGTAGAATGTTGCAACCTTAGTTAATCATCAAAATTAGTATGCTTATTAGAGGAACATGAGATTTCAAATGTTTGAGGAATCTAATACAGAAAAGGGAAATAAAGCCTATAAATGGTGCTGTAAACTTAATTGTTTTAATAACAGCTTTCAAAAAATTACTTTTCATAAATAATTTTTCTTTTCCTTTCTTGAATTCATATCCCAGACTTGACTATACAGCGGTTCTGCCCACAAGGTACTTATAATAAATGTTTGGAGGATATAGAGGGAGCCAAATTAAAAATGATCTTATGAAATCTATTTTAGAATCTCAATCTCTCTTTCTCTCCCCCCCTCCCAAACACACAACTGAAGGTTCCACTTCAGGCTTGCTGGATTGTGTTAACTTTTTCTTAGAATCCCCACCAATTTGTGCATGGTGCATAAGACAAACTCTACATTCTGAGCTCAGTAGCATAACTAAGCTGAACTGAATTCCAAGTCCTTTCATAGCCGAACCCCTTTGCCCCATGAAGTATAATTTTTATATGACAGAAGGGAACAATTTCAATATGATTTAGAGGGCATAAGGAGTCAGGAGAGAATAATTTTCTTGCTGCATTTAGGAGCTGGAAATTCTTACTAACCTGCAAACCACTCAGAAATCTATCAGATCTGAATTTAACTTCTCCCAATATCCAACCCAGCCCATAAAATTGGTTGTTGTTCAGGCAACAGTTATGTCTGGAAAGTAGTGGAGCTTGGTGTGAAGAATAGAACTTAATCCCTGCTATTCTACTGGTGGTGATCCAGTTCTGCCAAGTAAAAGTTTCATCCCCTATGTTCTGGAATAGTTGTTGCCTTCTCCATTAGCAATACCTTCTGTAAATATTGACCATTGGAAAAAGGGCTAATAACCAAGTTCAGAATACATGGAGTGCTATAAACTCTGCTTTGTTTGGTTTTGACTGCATGATTTCATAAACTCTTATTAATGGCTTCATATCTGTGAACCCTGCCTCAGATTAGAAGGGGCTGTGTGCAGAGTACAGTGGTACCTCTACTTACGTATGCCCCTACTTACGAAATTTTCGAGATATGACCAGCTCCGGCCCCCAAAATTTACCTCTACTTACGTATGCCCCTACTTACGAAATTTTCGAGATATGACCAGCTCCGGCCCCCAAAATTTACCTCTACTTACGAACTTGCCTCTACTTA